AGGAGACGGAAGCAGGTCTTGAGATGGTTGTATGGGAGGAGTTTGACTCTGTTGCTCCCGAGGACGTGGACAGGGTCTTGGGGAGGCTGAACGCAACCACATGTTTGTTAGATCCGTGTCCCTCCTGGCTGGTACTGGCAGCTCGGGAGGGTACACGAGCCTGGCTCCAGGGAATTACTAGCGCTTCTTTGCAGGAGGGGGTCTTTCCTGCGGCCCTCAAGGGTCTTTCCTGCGGCCAATTATCGCCCGGTCTCCAACCTTCGCTTTGCGGCGAAGGTTGTTGAGAGTGTGGTTGCGCAGCAATTCCCTCGGCACCTGGATGAAACAGTCTATCTAGACCCTTACCAGTCGGGCTTCAGGCCGGGGCACAGCATGGAAACGGCATTGGTCGCGTTGGTTAATGATCTCTGGAGGGCCCGGGACAGAGGATATTCCTCTGTCCTTGTTCTTTTGGACCTCTCAGCGGCTTTTGATACCGTAGACCACGGTATCATGCTGCGGCGTCTCGGTGAGTTGGGAGTGGGAGGCACCGTTAAGCGGTGGTTGGGGTCACGGCATTAAAAAGGTTGAGAACCACTGCTCTAAACCAGTGGTTCTCAACCTTTTTAATGTCGCGACCCCTAACCGGTTGTAAGTCGAGGACTAAACCGGTCGTAAGTCGAGGACTAAATCGGTCGTAAGTCGAGGACTAAACCGGTCGTAAGTCGAGGACTACCCAACCGGTCGTAAGTCGAGGACTTTCCCTGCCCGGGAGCGCCGTGCATGCGTGGTTCCGCCCCCTGCACCGGCCGAGGCGTAGCTGGCAAGTGGCAGAGACGGAGCAGGCCGACCACCAGCTGGCCCAGCCCAAGGGAGGTAAGGCACCCGCCGGAAAAGGGGAAAAAAATGGCGGACAGCCTTGCTTGGCGACCCCCGTGAAATGGTTGATCGATCCCAAATGGGGTCGCGACCCATAGGTTGAGAACCGCTGCTCTAAACATAGAATGTTTATCATCCTTAGTGATTCAGTTCATTTTTTAAAACATCTTCCCAAATTAGGGTTTATTGTAATATATGAACCAGGCAATCATAACTACCATAACTACTTGATGTCCTTCACTTGCTGTTAACTTTAAGGATGCAGGAGCTGGCTTCCCTTAGTCAACACACTAATTCCATTGTTCTTTTTTCCATTCTACAGCAAATTGACGGTGAAGCCTTTCTTCTCCTGAATCAGTCAGACATCGTTAAAATCCTTAGCATCAAACTGGGGCCCGCATTGAAAATATATAATGCAATTCTCATGTTTAAAACAGCAGAAGAAGACTGATGGGAGAAATTTCCCCTGGGTCAGGGGGACAGAGCTGTGAATGACCTCCAAGTGCAGCTCAACAGCAAAGCGCCCAGTCTCCTGTTTGTTCCTAAAGACTGAATTGATTGGAAACTCGGAAAGAAAGTGGCCAGATCATATTTCACACAGTTGTGGATAGAGAATACTGAAAGCGTTCTGAAATTCAGTCCGGCTGGCAGCTTGGAACGGATGCGATGGCTTCCCTTCTAGGAAGAGATGTTTATTTATTTTTTCCTAATTGAATTTGGATATGGTTATATTGATCTTTTGTAAAGATCTTGATGATGCCTCTAGTTATAAGAGGAATCCTGAGTATTTCTATTGATGGGAAGCTATGTTCAAACAAACTCACTTACCTGTTGTAGTGCCTAACAGAGAGTCCGGCTCACCATTGGTGTGCTTCTAAACTTACAACTTTGGGTTTAAGAGAGTAAGGGAAGAGTGAGATATTTCAAAGTAGTGCAGATGAATTACTCATCAAAGTCCTTTGTTTGTAGCCAGTTAGTTTTAAACCTTGTCCTCGTATCTTATCTTGTTTAGCTATTTAAATATTGGGAATTAATATTTGATGAATTGGAGAAATGAGTTCCGTCTCCAAGTACATGAATTTTCAGGTTATTATGCCTGTTTTAGACACTGCACTATTTCAGAGTTCAAAATATTAAATTAAAACTGTTTAATGAAGACCACTGGATATGGTTCCACTGGAAGGTAGACCAACTATTTAGGTATAGGATCAGAGTAACGAAACTATGAAACTATGTGTTTTGTTTAGTTTTTTTTTTTAAGTTTCTATCTTCCTGCAGGTCAGTGCAAGGTAGAGTGAGATATATAAAGAGGCACATCCAGCTTTGTCATGGTATGTATTTCTGGCAAGATTTATGGGAGGTTTTGTAAAACAAGTACTAACAGTTTTTATTTCTTTGTTGTTGAAAGTACTATTGTTTTACGAACAGGTATATTAGCTTGCACCTATTCTCATTTTAAGTCAGAAAGAGCTAAGCATACCAGCTACAGAGCATTGCCTGTCATTTCAGTTGGGCTTTTGTCAGAGTTTCTCAGGTCTTGCTGAAATATAAAATATATTCCACCTGCATAGCAGTAGGGCCAGTTGTCCTAGGCCTAATTCCTTCATATTTGTCTTTCCAATGATCTATGGTCCTAATGAAGCATTTGTGCCACAGTGCAGAAAAAAAATGGAAATATTTAACCACACAATTGCTATCATTTTCTCAGTCTTGAGAACAAAATCCAAATATTTTATTCTGCAAGGTCTCCAAACTTGGCAACTTGAAGACTTCCAACTTCCAGAATTCCCTAGCCATCCATACTGGATGGAATATATTTTATATTTCATGCTGGCTAGGGAATTCTGGGAATTGAAGTCCATAAGTCTTCAAGTTGCCAAGTTTGGAGACCTCTGTGCTAGGGGATACTCTATGGGAGATTTTGATAGAACAGAGCCATTTGGTTGGATGAGAAAATGAAAACTGAAACATAAGGCTTCAACAGAACATGGAAATGGACCAATCTGGCAGAAGTCTTCCATGGTCTTCTAAAAGGACACCATAAATTTGACAACTGATTTGTTTGTAATGATGTTAGTCTTGTGCAAGTGATGACTGAGTAAGTATCCTTTACATCTAACACTAGACAGAGATTCTTTTTCACTAACCACCTAAACATAACTTGGGAACAAGGCATTCTTTGTTACTGGCACATAACCTGCTCTTTCTATGATCTGTACATTGATTGACCTGGTTTTTTGCAAGCAAGAATTCTTGAACTAATCAAATGAGGTCTTTTATTTATTTTATAGAGGCCACTTGTTGGTTGGGTGAATATCGGTCTCAAAAAGATTTTGGGTAGCATAAAAATGATGGCGTTCTACTGTAAGTGTCACTATCCCTTTCTAAAGCATGAGCTAACAAGGGATGCATGTATCCCGATGTGTTAGTGGCAGTGCACTTTTGATAATTTATCGTTGGCTTTACAAGTGAATATGAAACCAGCCTTATAAATGAATTTGAGAGAAAACAGGAATGATGTTGGCATTTGACTTACAGCCTCTTCACAGCTATCTCTGCTTCTGATTTTCCAAATTTGTAAGACTCCCTTCCTAAAATCAAGGTGACACAAAAATGTGTAACTATTGCACAATCCAGGCTGCTGAATCTGAACAATATTGAATAAATCTGCAGTGGCAATATGTCTCGTAACTTTCTATTTGTATATAAATCATTAAAGAATATAAGCCTTACCTACACCCATCACTTAAGGACAAGGATAGAGAGGCTCAACAAGAAGATGCTGATATGCCATAGAGCAATATTCCTCAACCTTGGCAGCTTTAAGATGCTGGCTGGGGAATCCTGGGAGTTGAAGTCCACACATCTTAAAGTTGCTGAGGTTGAGGAACACTGCCCTAGACAAATGCATTGAACAGTAGCCCTATATAGTTTCTCTTCTACTAGGAGAACATTTAAAAAAAAACAGTGTTAAAGTGATGTGAGACAAGAATTGTAGAAGGTATTCCTTTTAATATTCTCTAGCCATATTTATTTAAAAAAACAAATGTTTAAGAATGTTATGTTTTTCAGAATTCTTTTACAAAGCAGTATTTTTTTTTAAAAGAACCATCATAAGTGAGTTTCTTTTCTCTAAACTGACTTCTAGGACAGTTTTGCTAATTAGGTTTTTAAATGTAGGAATACTCTAATGGTTGCTTGTGGCTATGTGAGATTAAAATGATGGTTGCTAACAAAACAGATTATCAAGCTTCTCCTATCCCTCTTTTAGCACGTGGTCAATGGAAGGGTTAGTAGTTGAGGAAACACACAAAAAAAGGACGGTTGACTTAATCGGTTGCTATCCCCAGGGGTTTACATTTAAATCAGAATATACCCAGCCATGTGCAATGTTACTTCAGTTCCACTGGAGTTAATTCTGCCTTGAGGACATCTAAGCCTGATTGCCTATTTAGTCCACTAAGAAAAAAAAACTAGAAAGAAAGAGCATCTGCAAAAACAGTAGTGAAATTGCTTCCTAGACCTGGAACTCCCAGAATCCACGCTCCAGACTCTGCTGTAGTAGTCAAGCCTAGATTCCTGTTGCCACCTGACCAATGGGAAGGGTTGGGGGTAGTGATGGAACAATGAAGCTTGGTTGGTCTCTCCTGGCACAAGAGCTCCTGGGGTAGGAGTCATTTCCTAAAGAGGAATCTGAAGCATGCAGACCATATGCTGTTTGCAGCCTTCCAAATGACACCCCACAGCAATACTATTTATTTATTTAGTTTTATCTCACTTTTATTGTTTTTACAAGCAACCCAGGACAATGAACATATCCAATACACCTTTCTCCTCCTATTTTCCCCACAACAACAACCCTCTGAGGTGGCTTGGGCTGAAAAAAGTGGCCCAAGATCACCCAGCTGGCTTTCATGGATAAGGCAGGACTTGAACTCACAGTCTCCTGCTTTCTAGCCTGGTGCCTTAACCAGTAGACCAAACTGGGTCTCTATATACTATATAATAATACTATGCAGGGCAAGAATGAGGCTTCGCAAATGAGAAATAGAAAGCAGAAAGGAGGAATAATTGCTGTGTGCTGCAACACAAAAGGAAAAACAAAATATTTGGGCAGCCTTTGGTGGGATGAGTTTCCTAGGTTATTACTCCTCAACCCGGTAATAAAACTAACTATTGGTGTTCTGCTTGATGTAAAATATGTCCTTCAGATTGAAACCAGTCCATTTCTTGGTGTTCCAGTCTACACTTAATGCACAAACACACTGTCTAAAATGAAAGGAGTCATCCGGTTCCATCATAGAAGTAGCAGTTTCCCAGTACAGCATTTTGTTTTAATTCAATATATTTATCTTTAAAAGCACACCAGGATTGACTTGAGTTTCCCACTCGATAAGAGTTTTGGTATCAGTGGAAGAAGATTGCAATGCCACAGCCTTTGGACTAATGAGTTAGTCCTTGTGAAGATTCTTGTCCTCTAGAGAAAATGAATGGAGACTTTTATTTTTCCCCAAATGATGTGTTTGTTGCATGATGGAGAGTTCTGGAGAACTTAAAAGCCTAAAACTGTGTTTGGGTGACATTTTGGCATGTTATAATAAAATTATTCCTATATATGGAGTGGGTGGAAAAGAGCTTAAGATCTTGACTTATTCTGGATTCTCCCATGTGCCAACACGCACTTTTTTTGTGTGATGCATATATAGTAAAACGTTATTCCTACTGCATTTACACAGCATCAATCTTCTGCAAAGGCTTCGATGTTTCTGCTTGTCTAGCATTTCTATCTGTATTGAGACTGCAAGTGAAGGACATAGAAAAGAGGATAAGAAAGCTTTTTTTAAAAAAAGTTGACTATTGGACTTTGATTTACTCGCTTTTTTTAATCCTTGACTAACGACCACAATTGAGCCCAAAATTTCTTTGCTAAGCAAGACAATTGTTAAGTGAGTTTTGCCCCATTTTACAACCTTTCTTGCCACTGCAATGACTGCAGTTATTAAGTTAGTAACACGGTTGTTAAGTGAATCTGGCTTCATCATTAACTTTGCTTGTCAGAATTTGCAAAAGTTGAACACATGACCCCGGGCCACTGCAACTGTCATAAATATGAACCACTTGCCGAGCATCCGAATTTTGATCACCTGACCAAATAGGGATGCTGCAACATACAGAAGTGTGAAAAATGGTCATAAGTCACTTTTTCAGTGTTGTCATAACTTTGAATGGTCGCTAAACGAATGGTTGTAAGTTGAGGACTACCTGTAGCTACTTTTGTTTCTTATGCATTAGCTTTGACACTTTGGATTTGGTTAAGGCTTGCTGTTCTCCAATGAGAAAAACAAGAAGAAGTCTCTATTACGAATGCATTACATTCTAAATTTAGATTCACCCTCCCTTCCAATTTCCTCTCAGTTGGAGCCTTGATTAAAATTTTCTGTTCTATCAGAA